TATCCTTATAGTAACTGCAATGGTTCAACCTTTTTTGAGAACAAATCTGGCCTTCGCAAACTCCCACTGCCACTACTTTGCCAACTTTGCTACTTGTTTAAACATATTAGGTTGTCCGGAAAATAATGTAGCATGGCATCCTACCGCAACAGAATAATCATAAAAAATAGCGAGTGGGATATCATTTGATAGAGCAAAGCAAGTTCTACAAGACAGTTTACAAACCTACGCGGAACTCGTGCTCCACCTGAAGTTCAAATCCAAAATGTAAAAAATTTTAGATAGCCGAAAAATCGTATCTCGGTTCATAGACGTTTCATGGGTCTCCAATTTACGATTATTATTATTATTATTATTATTATTATTATTATTATTATTATTATTATTATTATTATTATTATTATTATTATTATTATTATTATTATTATTATTATTATTATTATTATTATTATTATTATTATTATTATTATTATTATTATTATTATTATTATTATTATTATTATTATTATTATTATTATTATTATTATTATTATTATTATTATTATTATTATTATTATTATTATTATTATTATTATTATTATTATTATTATTATTATTATTATTATTATTATTATTATTATTATTATTATTATTATTATTATTATTATTATTATTATTATTATTATTATTATTATTATTATTATTATTATTATTATTATTATTATTATTATTATTATTAGGTCGTTCCGAAAGTTCTTTCCGTTTTTTCATCATATCACAAAAACACGTGGAACGAAGAAAGGGAAACGCTTCAGGCATTGTCCGACGCAACTTTTCTTCCTCTTTTCAACTATCATATTTCTTTGCCGCTCGCTCTTGTGGTCAGTGAGATAATGGCCGAAATCTCGGACCTGTGGATTTTTATTATGTCCAACTTTGGCAATTTTTCACTATCTTCTTTTTTGACTTTTGGAAAAGCTTTGATAGCAATCGGATAGAATAAACAAAGTGCAATGCAATGCAATTTTTTGGCAATTTCAGCTGGCTTCTCATTATTTTTTGAGATAACTTTTTCAGAAGTCTTCACTTTTTCAGAGTCACAAAACACACAAACGCTCTGAACATCAACAAATCTTCGGTTTTCGAAACTTTTAAAAGTCGTTTGTGATTGTACACTATCTTTACAAAGTAACTGAGCGTTTACCGCTTCGAAATATAAGATTTCGCATTTCACGGGCACATCATGAGGCGGGTACAAATTAAAGATTTATGGAAATTTCATCGCCAAAGACCCCACAAACTAAGAAGAAAAACCCCTCATCAGAAAGACGAGAAAAAGCTGCATCGAATGACACCTTAGTTGTGCGCCGTTTTATGTTCTATGGCTTCTGGCATCCCCAAAAGTTGTCGCGGATTGCGCGACTTCTTCAAGGAGTCCGCTTCTCGTGCGCGAAGGGGTCCCAAAACGCCAGTCCTCGCGCTGCCCCGCCCTCTCGCTCGCTACTTATGCCGCAACTCATCTGCTAAAAGTCACGTACGCCACATGTGTCTACTCGCGAGCGGTCGGCTTCAACTCAGTCCAATTATCGATCGATCCAGCAGCGCCTTCTTACCAACTCACGCGAAGAACACCACCACGCATGGAGGACTGGCCCGTCGCCTCGAGGTAACCCGGTTGGTGCTTCTTGCTTGCCGCAAGGCAAAGGAGTACCTCCATGGGGGGTTTTCTTTCTATCGGCTCCTAGGTAACATCTGGCCGGCGTGTGCTCATCCCATTGTAATGAGTTGTTTGTGTGTTGGTTAAGATCCGGATAAATGGTGGGCACCTTAAGAGTCTTTGTGTTTTGTACGAGTGTTGGGCTCAGGGCTTAGGCCTTAGCCCCAGGAATATCTGTATGCTATTCATGTTCGTTGTGTGTTCCTGATGTGTTGATGTCCTGGAAGGTTCCATCAGATAGAGGATCGGCACGATCCCGGGTAGTGCTCAAGTTGCTGACGATCCACAACTGCCAACATTGTGTGGGGCAGCTGGAGATAGCTGGCAGTTGAGATTGGGGGGTTAGGTTGGTAGCCTAGGGCCACTAAGATGCTAGTGTATCCGTGTTTGGCAGGCCATAAGAGCGTGGCGCAAGCTTGCTACCTTTCCCCAAGTGTCGTTGTTCTATTCACGGATGGCGTCCTCAGCTCCCCTCGCCGATGCAGGAGAGCACGATACCACTGACGTCTGGAGCTGGGGATCCCAATCCGCGACATGGTGCATCGAGACGGAGTTAGGCATAGGGATAGCAAACCTATGTCTAGCTTTTGCGATCGGACCTTCTTGCGTATGCCCGCAGATACACATTTCGCATGTTGGCGCCCCTAGCTAGCAATGCAAATTGTAGTTTAATTCCCCTTTTCAGGTGTTTGCACAGTGTACACATATTTGTGTTTTTCGTCTCTCCTTTAGATCGCATCCTTCATGCAGTAGCCGGATCCGATGAGACTGGGCTGACGCGAGTGAGCGACTACCGCCAGTACACTTAGCTGAGAGTAGGGTGATCCCTCACATGCCTTGAGTGGCACAAGCCGTGTGATATCTGCCTATTGTCCGTGCTGCCGGTGCCCTCTGGCGACCAGGTTTTTCTGCAGACATCGAGGCCCTTGGTAGGCACTAGCTCTGTCCGCCTTGAAACACGTCATCAGGCCTGCGGAGGAATCGCCTGCTGTGATCTTGGATGGGTATCTCCCCTAAAACTTCATCGCCACCACATTTATGCTCGCATTTTGCATCAATCTTTGTCAACGGGATCTGCCCCGCGTTGTTAGTGGTTAAACCCGCCTAATTTCCTGCCTAGCATCTCGCTGCTAACCTATCACTGTTGGCAATAGCATCGGGTGCTTTAGGGTCCTTTGTTTCTGGCTTGACGCTCGTTTTCTTACCTTTGACTCTTTGTGCTCATCATTTGTGTGAATACAGTCGCGAATGTGGTCACACTCTCTTCGAATACCTTCACATACTCAATTACAGAGGTTGAGTCCACAGATACCATCATCCCCAACTTTACCGAGTGCGACGTCATCGATCGATATGGACCAATTGCGAAATCCCATGGTACTCAAGTCATCGAGTCCAACGAGGATGAGGAAGTCGACAGGAAGCAGATGAGTTCCAACTTTCTTCTGCGCTACTATCAGACGCCTCGCCAGTGAGCAGTACGATCAGCTCTAAGAATTAGACAGCTTCACAACTTCCTGTAAGCAGACTAAGACTTGTGCCTTTACATCTACGCGAACGTTTATATTGTGCCATCAATACTTCGACGGATAGTTTGTGACGGATTTGGATAAGTGGCATAGTGCCTGATCAACACTAGAGCTTCTTGCCATTTGTGGAATATGTAGGAAGCGCGCAGCACAGTCAAAGTCTTTGTACTTGTTATTTGTTCGCTTTAATGCCACCTGTGACATTAACGAGACGATCAGTCGAAGTTGTGATTAGTGACGTCTCCACAGTGGCATGAATGCAACTTTACAGATGACTGTACTTAGTGTCACATTATTGCTGAGCATCGTGCAACAATTGCAGCTTGGGCTCACACAGAATGTCTTTTTGGCCTCACCTCCATCGTAGCACTTAGCAATCCATTAGGAAAAAGCTAAGTTGTGGTCCTTGGATGGAGACGTTACCAAAATTTAGCCTTCGGTGTGCGTTTAAGTCGATTGTGCACAATAAACAGCATCCACATGTAACATCTCTGTTGGCAATAATTGTACGTGGAAAGTGCTGAATTGGTGTTAAGAGATTTCAAACTTGCTCAAAGTGATTATTATCCTTCGGTGTGCACGTTGCGGAATCAATACGACGGAGAATTCGAGCTATTTCCATCAACAGCTCAAGGAATTTGATGGCAATCGTATTGGTTCAGAACCGACGTAGCACTTTCCTATGAGTTCGGAAATCCTCATACCATTGAGCACTTCGAAGATCTTTATCGATTCTTTCCACCATCGATCTGAGGACTGCGGATTCCATTTGATATCCAGGAACGCTTACTCGAACTAGATCTTCGACAGGTTATGTCTCATCTTCATCACATCTTCGAGAAAAACTTTGAGCATATCTGTTCCCATAGTACTCTCGTTGTCAGTAGAGATGTCCCACAGCACTTTCAGTGCCTAGTTTTTTAGGGTTTCGTACAGGATGAATGCGACTATCCATATCGTGGAGGATCTCGAAGTCAACTTCATCGACTTTTCCGTAGACTTCCGGAGGAAGAGGGATTATTTGAGGACGTCATCGGTCATCTAGTTCATCTAGTTTGCCAGAGTCGTTATCGGAGATACCAGTAAGCTGCGGAAGGACACCATCAACCTGGAGAATTCGCGATTGCAAGATCTAGCACGGGATAGTAGAAGATCTCGAGACTATTCTCGTGATTGTCATTATCAACCGCGCAAACATAGAGGATACTGCAGCAAGCTGCATACAATCGTTCCTTCTTTGCCGGTACCCGTACAACACCATCGTCGGGATATCATCACTCTTCTACACTGGACGCCGTAACGTCGAGGACGTCGATACCCCGTAGTAGATATGTGGATTTGTCCCGTACCTACTTACCCTATCAATATCCCACAGGAATCGCTAGTCCCAGATTTCTAGTCTTACAGCTCGCCCACATGTTGCTACGGTGATTCCCTGCTCTGTTCGTTCCGTGAACGTGCTCAACAAACTGACTATTACGTACCAGAAGATTGTGCAGTCTTTGGAGTTTCATCGCCAGTGTCCCAAGAGGCTCAGCGTAAGATCAGAGTGATAATTCTATCTGTAGAGACTGTTCAGGCCTTTACAATGGATTGTTCGTGGATACGGCTGAGAAGATCTCGCTCCTTGGAAGTCAGATGGTTAACCCGTGGACTACAATCAGCCATGGGAAGTCAGTATTCTTCTAATAATTCTCCCAGGAAGACCAGAAGGTACGGTGTAGGATTTCGATTTTGTTTTCCTGATCGTTACCATCACTTGCATGGGTAGGAGGTTATTGTGGAGACTCGCTCTCGAGTTCGTCGTCTGGCTTACGTTTCTGTTCCTGTGAGAAATTTGATACACCATCTATCCCTATCGGAACACTATGGAGTACGACAATTGGAATTCCAGACTGCTAAAGAGTGTAATTTTGTCAGTACTGTTGAATACTAACTGTCACGATGATATCTAGTGATGCCCACAGAATCCGTGTTAGCAACAGATAGGTTAAGAGCTGATGAGATTTCTTTGGGTTTTCTGGGTCCCTTGTGGCTTATTGTGTCTGGATCGCTTCGTTGGAATAGCCAAATGGACTAAGAAACCCAAATGATTACCCCACGCTTGTAGGAACGCTTGGTTTGCGCATCTCGGATGATGTGGTGAACAGGTGTTGCTACTTACGATTACCTTTTACGTTTAGGTCGTCGAACTGTTTATCCAGCTTGTCCACCAGGATCTGGAGTGCGTCTCTGCTCTCCCTGATGAGTTCAATTCCTCCGCTGATCAGGTCTGCAGCATTGTAAAGCTCATCAAGCTGTTTGGTCTTGTTTCCGCTGGTCGAGACCCCTTCGGAATAACCTCTGTACTTTTCCACTAAGGTACCCAAGGATTTAGCACTGTATGCTATTGGTTTTTTGTGTAATGTGAATGCCATTATCACTTTTTGCTTTTTTTTCGGCTTAAGTGCTTTGCTTTCGCTTTGACTTACAGCCTACTTTATTGTAGCGTATGTGTTGCCAGGTATGATGGGCTTTTTGTTGCTAGGTATGATGTCCTAGTCTTTATTGCCAGGGAAATGCTGGACTTGTGCTAGGTATGATGGCCTAGACTTTTTCGATTCAATAAAGAATCTCGACCAAAAAAAAGGTTTTTTTTGACCGATGCACCAAAATGTGCCAAACGGTGGTTCAGATTTAAGGGGAATGGATTTATTCGAATATATAACAAATGTAACAATTGTCCTCTTTACCCGGACAGGGTGCAAAACAATGCTCACAGAACAGACACACCTATCAATCCCAGCCCCCTGCTTTTATAGCAGGGGGCTGGGCAAACAACCGTATCGGGCTTCTGCCGAAGAGGTCGCCATTTCGGCGACATTATTATTATTATTATTATTATTATTATTATTATTATTATTATTATTATTATTATTATTATTATTATTATTATTATTATTATTATTATTATTATTATTATTATTATTATTATTATTATTATTATTATTATTATTATTATTATTATTATTATTATTATTATTATTATTATTATTATTATTATTATTATTATTATTATTATTATTATTATTATTATTATTATTATTATTATTATTATTATTATTATTATTATTATTATTATTATTATTATTATTATTATTATTATTATTATTATTATTATTATTATTATTATTATTATTATTATTATTATTATTATTATTATTATTATTATTATTATTATTATTATTATTATTATTATTATTATTATTATTATTATTATTATTATTATTATTATTATTATTATTATTATTATTATTATTATTATTATTATTATTATTATTATTATTATTATTATTACTATTATTATTATTATTATTATTATTATTATTATTATTATTATTATTATTATTATTATTATTATTATTATTATTATTATTATTAGGTTGGTGCAAAAAAAATGAGCGTTTTCCTAGGACTTTTTTCAGGATAACTTTTCTCCATCAAACGTCTTTCTTTTTAACGGTTTCAGCACATTGTTAGAAAGCTCTTTTCATGCTCTATCTGAAGATGTTCGAAAGGAACTTCTAGCCCACTCTGTTAAGAATTTATAGAGCTTCACATAATCACACTCAAAATTAGATTTTCGTTGCATTCATTTTTCTGGCCAGAATTTGAGCGCGAATTAAGATGGTTTATCAAAAATTTAGCCGCCATATGTAATGGAAATTGTCTACATTATGCATATTCAACCATATTTTTCCAAGTTATCTAAAGTGAGATATCGGCGGCTTAACATGGGTAATGGTTGTGGTCATTTTAGAGCCTATAAATTTCTTTTGAAAATGCAGCCGCTCAAACTTTGCTCATCTCTGTAAGCGGGAGGGTAGGAGTCCCATTAGCGGTTTTTGCAAAAACATCCAGCTTTTCAGTACGCAGAAAATTAGGAAATTCTCTACTTCGGGGTTTTGAGGCCTACTGAAAAAATGCTAAAAAAGTTGATATTTTTGAATTTCGATTTTTCCCTCTTCGCTAATCTTTTTTTCCAAGCCGTTTCCATGTATATTTGTACTACTGGCTTGCGGCTACAAGATAGGCTGCTTATAAATCATAAGAACAAAGTGTGAAAGGAGTTATGTTCTGTCAAATACAAGGCTTCAGAAAAAAACTTTTTTTGTTTTTCAATCCATATTTTTCTGCCCATATGAGATATGAGTATAGTTCAATGTGCGCTGTACTGAGAAAGGTTCGCTGCATCTAACGGTCTTTATCACATTTCAAAATGTAGATTTTGTAGAAAGTTATAGCAAGTTAAAGTGAATAATGGGAAAACGCTCATTATTTTTGCACCAACCTAATATTATTATTATTATTATTATTATTATTATTATTATTATTATTATTATTATTATTATTATTATTATTATTATTATTATTATTATTATTATTAGTATTATTATTAGTATTAGTATTAGTATTAGTATTAGTATTAGTATTATTATTAGTATTAGTATTAGTATTAGTATTAGTATTAGTATTAGTATTAGTATTAGTATTAGTATTAGTATTAGTATTAGTATTAGTATTAGTATTAGTATTAGTATTAGTATTAGTATTAGTATTAGTATTAGTATTAGTATTAGTATTAGTATTAGTATTAGTATTAGTATTAGTATTAGTATTAGTATTAGTATTAGTATTAGTATTAGTATTAGTATTAGTATTAGTATTAGTATTAGTATCAGTATTAGTATTAGTATTAGTATTAGTATTAGTATTAGTATTAGTATTAGTATTAGTATTAGTATTAGTATTAGTATTAGTATTAGTATTAGTATTAGTATTAGTATTAGTATTAGTATTAGTATTAGTATTAGTATTAGTATTAGTATTAGTATTAGTATTAGTATTAGTATTAGTATTAGTATTAGTATTAGTATTAGTATTAGTATTAGTATTAGTATTAGTATTAGTATTAGTATTAGTATTAGTATTAGTATTAGTATTAGTATTAGTATTAGTATTAGTATTAGTATTAGTATTAGTATTAGTATTAGTATTAGTATTAGTATTAGTATTAGTATTAGTATTAGTATTAGTATTAGTATTAGTATTAGTATTAGTATTAGTATTAGTATTAGTATTAGTATTAGTATTAGTATTAGTATTAGTATTAGTATTAGTATTAGTATTAGTATTAGTATTAGTATTAGTATTAGTATTAGTATTAGTATTAGTATTAGTATTAGTATTAGTATTAGTATTAGTATTAGTATTAGTATTAGTATTAGTATTAGTATTAGTATTAGTATTATTATTATTATTATTATTATTATTATTATTATTATTATTATTATTATTATTATTATTATTATTATTATTATTATTATTATTATTACTATTGTTATTATTATTATTATTTATGCCAAACGGTGGTTCAGATTTAAGAGGAATGGATTTATTCGAATATATAACAAATGTAACAATTGTCCTTTTTACCCGAACAGGGTGCAAAACAATGCTCACAGAACAGACACACCTATCAATCTCAGCCCCCTGCTTTTATAGCAGGGAAGCTGGGCAAACAACCGTATCGGGCTCAGAGGTGCGATAGGGGGAGCCAAGTCTCCCCCTACCTTCACTTTTGAGCTGATACAGAGTGACCACCTTCACTTTTGCGAAAATTTTTTTGTTGAATATAAAGAAGGAAAATAAGTAAAACAAACGCAAAAGGGATTATTGAAGACATATATATATATATGTATTGCAGTTTTAGGAACTCGCCGTCACCCATCGGAAGCGAAGGCCATCACCGCCATGGACGCACTTTTCCGCCTTTCCACGAAATCGGAGAAGATAGCTTCGGGACGAATTTCGATTTAAAAAGCTATGACCAAACGTCCTCTTTAGGGCCAACAATTGACCCAACGGCCCTTTTTAGGGCCACAGATACGATGAACACAGCGGCATAAATATTCGAAATAAACTGTCAATGAAATGGTGTATTTTGAAGTGAAACTCAACGACACTCTACAGATTTTATTAAGTAAATTTAGTTATGTCGTACTGCGAAGAAAGTAGGTCGATCCAGGAAGTATTTGCCGAGAACCAGAATTTTGAATGAAAAAATAACCAGAAATCATGCAAAATTGCCACTGTTATAAACCAAGTGGTTGAAGATGTCAGCAACTGCGACTTCATAGGTTTTAAAGGGTAAGTGTTGCTCTAACAGATAGTGAAAGAATCGTGTCGATTTGAGCAGTGGTCGCTGAGAACGAGAATTTTGAAAAATTAGGCGATTTTAGGCTAATTTTTGACTGCTGACATTTGAACTCCTAAAACTCTTGATTGTGAAGATGTGTGATGTTGCGACTTCATAGGTTTTTTAGGGTAAGGTTCGCCCTACTAGAATATATCTTACCCGTACCAATTCATCAAAGCACCGCCGAGATCCAGGCTCTTGAAAAAGCAGGTAAAAAACAGCTTTTTGAACTTCAACAGATCGTAACTTCTCCACAACTGCATGAATCATGTTGCGACTTCATAGGTTAGATTCCTCTCATCAAGGGCTTTCAGATGATATATGATATATGGGGGTTTGGGGCCTTCTTCGACGTATGACTGGGGGGGGAGACTTTTTAGGCCAAAGTCTCCCCCTCGCCCATTTTAATGTATTGGCTGAAGGCCGCCAGGGGAGACTTTGGCCTAAAAAGTCTTCCCCCCTCGGGCATATGCCGTAAGAGGCGCGAAACTCCCACATATTATATATCATCTGAAAGCTCTTGATAAGAAGAATTCAACTTATGAAGTCGCAACATGATCAATGCAGTTCTGGAGAAGTTATGAGCTGTTGAAATTCAAAAAGCGGTTTTTTACCTGTTTTTTCAAGAGCCTGGATCTCGGAGGTATCTCAATGGATCTGTACGGCTAAGGCATAGTTCGTTAGGGTTATTCTTAGCCTACAAAACCAATGAAGTCGCAACATTGCACACTTTCACATTACAGATTTATAGGAGTTTAAACGTCAGCTGTCACTAAGTAACCTAAAATCGCTTAATTTTTCAAAATTCTCGTTCTCGGCGGTCACTGCTGAAATCAAACTGATTGTTTCACTGTCTCGTAGAACAACACTTGCCCTTTGAAACCTATGAAGTCGCAATTGTTGACATCTTCAACCGCAATATTTATGAAAGTGGAAATTTCGCATAATTTATCTTTATTTTATTATTCAAAATTTTGGTTCTCGGCGGTTACTGCCTGGATCGACCTACTTCCTTCGCAGTACGACATAACTAAATTTACTTAATAAAATCTGTAGAGTGTCGTTGAGTTTCACTTCAAAATACACCATTTCATTGACACGTTTATTTCGAATATTTATGCCGCTGATTTCATCGTATCTGTGGCCCTAAAGAGGGGCGTTGGGTCGCAGTTATTGGCCCTAAAGAGGACCGTTGGGTTAGAGCTCTTCAGTTGTCCGAAGTCATCATGAAGCTTTGCTCTATCGTAGAAAGTGCTGAGACGTATATGCGTCCATGCCGGTGATGACCTCCAGTTCTCGCAGAAGGCGACGGCGATTTCCTAAAAATAAACTACATAGAATATGCTCTCAATACTTTCTTTTGCGTTCGTTTTGCTTAATTTCCTTTTTTTCAGTTTCAGCAAAAAAATCAATACCCAAAAGTCCGAAAAAAAACCCAAACCAAAAAAAAACCAAAAAACCCAGTTCAAAGTCCGTCCTGTGCCCCCCCCCCTCTCTACCCCCACCACCGGTCAACGTTTTTGAGAGGTGAGTGTCCGGCACTACCACCTTCATTTTTGCTGCCCTGTGGTAGCTGCGACCCCCCCCCCCCCGGTCGACATTTTTGGGAGCTGAGTGTCCGGCACTACCACCTTCACTTTTGGCAGCCAGTGGTAGCAGGGACCACCTTCACTTTTGGGGGACCCGGCTCCCCCTATCGCACCTCTGATCGGGCTTCTGCCGAAGAGGTCGCCATTTCGGCGACACTCCCGGGGGCCACCAAAATTCTAATATGATATATAGGCATGAAATCATACAGAAAGGAGAATGCAGATATGGAAGAAAACATACAACCATGAGATTACACCTACGAACGTAAGGATAAACGTACAACCATTAGAATCAACGTGTGAAATTGGAACATAAAACATAAAAAACTTGAAACAACTTAAAACTCAAAACATACTTTTTAGAATTTTCTTCTTTTTGCGGTAGGTGTTTTGGAGTGTGCCGGAAGCCGCGTATCGGACACAACAAGGTGTTGTGCGGCTTCCGGCAGTGGTTGCAGCTCGTATCGCACGGTTCGTCGTGGCTCTTCCGCAGGCACCGGTCACATAGGCCCAGGCGCGAAGCCTGGACTGCGCGTGACACGGGATCGGGATACTTAGGACAGCGGCCCGACGGATGGCTGCCTTCGCCCTCGGGGCAGAATACGCAGGACGATGTTCGCGGTTGGTTCGCCGCCTCCAGACGATGCTGGCGAGCGTCCAAGGCCGCGAACAGGTTCAGAATAGTATCCAGCTTAGTGTCGATGGCCATTAGGGCCTGGACGATGGGGGATTGCCGTTGTTCAACGTCCATTTCTTCGACGATTTTAGCGAGGACGGGCATACTGATTACCACCGCTATCTGTGTAGGCGTTTTATACATGTTAGCTTGATATAACCCATTTTCTATGTAAGCTTGATATGATACATTATCTATGTACAATTTGCTCATTTATTTGCATCAAAGATTAGCCGCGTATCCTAGTTTTTATCGGTGATAGGATAGCGAGCAGCAGTTTGAACGTTGAGGTCACTATCGCAGAGGCAATGCCCCAGGCAATTTCAAGCATGGCCCATTCGACCTTGATTAGCATAATTAGTGCTGCTGGTCCGCACAAATATGTCATTCCTATTGCAAGTGACATTGCTGCTATGGCCGCTGCGGCTACCTTCCATTCTTTTTTTAACGTTTTGAGAAGTGGTTGCATGTCTGGGATATGCACATCGCTGATCGCATTTATCCAGTTTCTACTCTCTGATTGCATTTCGAATAGAGTACTCTGTAGATGTCTGGCGTGGTAGTGTAATGTACCATCTAAATCGATCTCAATTCTTTTCTGAGCGCAGATTGCATAGCATTTTTGCTCTACAGTTGCTCTTTCGAAATGTAGTATTGTTGTAGTTGTTCGATTGGATTCGTCGCAATTGATCGTGAATGAGTGATCGTTACATAGCACCGTTACAGATGATGGTGTAGACGCCTTGCAGTAGCTGACGACTTCCGCTCCACTCTGACATTCATAGCAACCGGTTATGGAACCAAATATGATCGAGCAGGGTGAGTCGACTCTATACTGATTGATGTCAACCATTAGCTTGGATTGGATTGTTAGTGTGACCTCACCATCCTGACTTGTTGCAAGGATTTCATTCTCCGTTTTTGCGATTTGTAGGCTTGCTGTATGGATTGGCAAAATATTCTTCATCCTGCCGTACATCGCTTAGCGATTTTGTTGAGCACTGGCAATTTTTTGGTACTTTGAACGTTGCGCAAGCGCAGATCATGCGGTTTGTGCACTTTTCGAAATTGTCAGTTGCTTGCTGCCGCGTTTCGCATTCCACCGGTAACTCGTAGCCGTTTGGGATACTTAGAGCTTCATGTTCAGCAATTGCGAAACGCTTATCCATCAGCATGGAGTGCGGCTTGCTTAGCGAGATGATATTAAGAGTGATCTGCTCAAGCTGCTGCGGTAGATAGGGTTGTAATACTATATCTTTGCTCAATGCTATGCCCCCAATATTCATGTCCAACTCAAAGCTGATTTCCGGGGTCCATTCCACGCAGCTGATGACATCGTAGATTTTATCATCTTTTGGGATTTGCGCTACGCGAATATAGAAGCATGCCGGTGTGATAAGAAAGCACCCGCAGAGCAACCCGCCGCATGTGTGCTCGCAGGCGGAATAGCCTGGAAATTCCGAAGCGAATTCTAGTTCTGGGATTGTTTCATTGTGCATGAGGGTGTTGCAGTTAATATTGAAACATGACCCTGCTCCATCACACCTAGTAGTGTAGAATATTCGATGTGTGGTATCTCGCGTATAGAAATGGGACAGCTTGGAACATTTCATAATCATCTCCTTTTTCGTGATTTTGATTGTACCCAAGGTTTGATTTGCGTGCCTTATGCTGATACAAAGACGCTTCTGTAGGCGATTAAAGAGTATTTCCTCATTGTATTCATAGGAACAATCTTGGTTTTGACAAGTTACTTCGACCGTATGTCGCATGTACCCATGTTGGCATGATGCTGCTGTGCTAATCATGGATGATAGGGCTATCACTATGACTATCGTGTTGGATAGGCCTAATGGGTTGGGATTGAAGCTATCAAGTACGATGTTTGTCTCGGGATTAGATGCTACGTTTGGCCTTCGTGTGAGCAGCCGTTTCAATACCCATAACACCATCATCAAGATTGTTACTAGGGCGTACATGGATAGTGCAGCAGTTATCACTGCACCTGTTGGCCAGCAATGTGGGTTTCCCAGTGAAGATGTTGTCATGATCCTGCTTGAGTGATCGCAGTATGTATGAGATTTACATAACTGAGTGACCGAGAATGTCGGGGTTGTGAGGTTCACATGAAATTGCCCCTTGGTTTTCGCGGAAGGGATGCTTATTGACATGGCTTGAGTGTTATTTTCGAATACTTTGCATGTATTACCCACACATAACCTGAATGGTTCTGTAAGCTCTCTAATGTTAAGTATTCCTTCTGCGCACTCCATAAGTCCCTTCGTCAAAGCTTCCACACTATTGCAGCTGTATAGGAGGATGAGGCTAATCATTGTCATGACCCGAGAGATATGAGGGGATGAAGTGCTTTGCAAACTTCGTTCAAAGTTTTGAATGACTTCGTAGGCGCGAGTCTTAGATTCTCGAGGCGGATTTCGTCTACTAGACTGCGCTTGCAAGAGATTTTCGCCAGTGTCAGCATGTATGTCGTGTTGTACGCGTGTTTGCTGAGCTGGATGTTCATCCTGCTGAATATTTTCTGGCAGCGTTGCTGTTTCTTCCATGTTTGCCTCTTCAGTACATCTGATTTCTAGAGGGAATTCAAAGGCCTTTGTAGAATTTTATGATTTGGTGTAAGGATTTTGGCTGACCTTATCAGACCGTCTGCACTTTTGACTAGTTCTGTTATCTTTCCATAGGCCCAGTTACCACGGGGTATCAGCTCTTGTTCAATAAGCACAATTTCGCCGATTCGTGGGTGGTGAGGCGTGTGCCGCGGTTGATTTAAGTGCCTCTTTTGAATTTCGCGTAGGAGTGTCAGGTACTCTACATTCCAACGGTCCCAGAATTTAGCTGCAGTAGCTTCTGAGAACTCCATTGCTTCATGCGCTTGTAAAGCGGTCTGAATAAGTTCAGGATCATAATCAGGATCATTAGCTCGCACGTTAGTGTTTGGGAGTGCATATTTTACGTTGCCCTGTAGGAAGTATATGGGTCGCAAAGGTATATCCGTTATATCACTCGAGCTCAGCTTAGTGAGTGGGCGAGTGTTTATGATGGCTTCAATTCTTGCCATAACGGTGCTTAACTCAGTGAAGGAAACTTTACGGCGGCCAACAGCTTTAGTGAAACAGCGCTTGACTGAGCCGACTAACCTTTCCCAGACACCACCCATCCAGGGTGCACCTGGTGGGTTGAATATCCACGTTATACCTTCAGTAGCACTGTAATTCATTACAGAATTTTCGCTTCGGTCGTCTTTTTCAAACAACTTTTCTATGATTTTTTGGCCGAGCTTGAAATTAGTGCCACAGTCTGTCCTTACGAGTTGTGGTACCCCACGTCGTGAGACAAACCTTACAAAGCTGTTTAGAAATGCGCCTGTTGATAGGTTCTCCACAGCTTCTAAGTGTATGGCCCTTGTAGTTAAGCATGTGTACAGGCATACATACATCTTCTCGTTGTTTTGCGAGTCGATAGGACCCAAAAAATCGCAACCAATCTTTTGGAATGGCTTGGAAATTCGCACTCTATCTTTGGGTAGCGATGGCATCTCTGGAGCGCCGAATGGCAGCCCGTGGCACCTTTTACACGTGCTGCAGCTTCTGAGATACTTTTTTATCGCTTTCATGGGTTGAGGTATCCAGTATCGCTGTCGTGCTAGCGCTAAAATGTGGTCATTTCCACAGTGCGCGTTCTTCTGGTGTATGTTTACCAAAATCAATCGAGTCAGTTCGGACGGATTGGGGAGGAATATTGGCGATTTTGTATCGTGAGGCAATATCGCGTTTTGTAGGCGCGACTCGTGGCGTATTATTCCAAATTCATCTCTAACAATTTTCACATTGCGGAAGCGCTTCTGCAGTTCTTCTACAGATATAGAATGATGTATTGAGGTGATTATCAGTCTTTCGCTGAGCATTATATCTTTCGCTGTAATGTGCTGTTCCGTGCTAAAGTTTTTGATAATAGGGAACTTTTCGGAGTTGAAGCTGCACTTCTGTACCCATTTTTTTGAAGTTTCACCGATTATGGCTACTGTTCTCAGTAGCTTGTTGTAGTTTGAAAAACGTTGCAAATCAATAAATGACTGTATTTCCTCGCTACTGGTGGGTCGCGGTACGGTAGGGTGCGCTTGAATTTCGTCGTCATCGCTCTGTTCGTATTCGGCATTTGCCTCGGTAATTACGCGTAACGACCACTTTTCATTTTGTGCTAACCATTGTGGGCCTTTTATCCAGGCATGATTTTTCATCGCTGATGCTGATAGACCGCGAGTTCCAGCTCTGCTGGATTGTCGTTTGTGGAGACGTGGTAGAAGTGTATCTGTTTGTTTTTGCATTCAAAATGATGCTTGAGTCTCAAAATGCGATCTCTTTGACTCGCGACAAACGGCGGCAATTTTCTCATGCTTGGAATCCAAGCGAGAGCGATTTCGCTGTCGTTGGCTATTTTTATGTCCTCGATAGCGTTACCCATTGTATTTACAATGCTCTTTGCTAGTCTGGTGGCTATGAGTATGCTGAGTAGCTCCAATCGCGGTATTGTTTGCACCATTTTCTTGGGCGTAAGACGAGTTTTGCCGCTTATTAGCTGGGAGACTTTTCTAGTTTCAATGCACTGCAGATAGGCGCATGACGCGATAGCTATTTTGCTTGCGTCCGAAAATATCCAAAGGGTGTATCGGCCTTTATCGGGAGTCGGTAGAGCACGTCGCAGAGTTAAATTACAAATGTTTATCTGCTGACACTCCTCATTCCATTTCGAAGCGAAATGGCTAGGAATGGTTTCTTTCCAGTCTAATCCTGTGCTATAGATTTCTCGCATTAGAGATTTCAGTTTCACCAGAAGTGGTCCCGCCATGCCAATTGGATCGTACACTGAGTTTATCTGACTGACGATATCGCGTTTTGTGAGCTTTTCTTTGGACGGGATGTCTACTCTCAAAGCGTAAGTGTCCTCCTCAGTGTCGTAGTTTACTCCCAGAAACTTGATAACCTTACCGTGTAAACGGTCTTTTTCAGGAATGGCTTGGTTGACAAGCTGCGAGTTGGAAATGTACTCGCGTAAGTTCATTCCGATTTCAGCAAATAGCGCTTTTGATTCATAGTATTTTGTCAGCGCTTCTTGAACGGAATTAGCTTTTAGGAGGATGTTGTCCACATACAGATGCGATGCAATCTCTCTTGCTAGGGGTGTGTTTTTCCAGTCCAAAAAGGCGAGAATCACCATGTTCAGGATGCTTGGAGAAGCTGTCAGCCCGAACGGGAGCCTCGTAAATCGATATTCGACGATATTGTCTTTTGTTGGCGCTTTTTCAGTGTCTCGCACCCATAAGAATCTGCATAAGTCTTTGTGAGCGCTACTTAGTCGAATTTGCGTGAAAGCGGCTTCAATGTCGCAAAGCAGAATGATGTGGTCCGATCGACTCGACGTTAGTACATCATGTATTTTGTTCACGAAGGACTCGCCGGTGTAGACCACGTCGTTTAGCGAAAATTGTGTTTTTCGCTTGGAGGACGCGTCAAACACTATACGTAAAGGTACTGCTTTGTTTGGCCGCCAAACGCCTGAGTGTGGCATATAATAGGTGCCGGCTTTATCAGAAATATCATCTTTGGCTACCTCTATTACGTTGTCCTGTATGTATTTGTCAAGAACAATTTTGTACCAATTTCGTTGGTTTTCGTTGTTTTGCAAAAGCTGCCAAAGTGCTAGTAGTCTTCTGTAAGCCACTGCATAGTTATCGCTTAGATCAACTATGCTGTCTTTGAGTGGTAGCGGAGCGATCACAACACCGTCTTGAAACGAAAGTTTCTTTGAGTAGGTCTGGAAATATGTGAATGTGCTCTCATCTTTTTGCAACTCTTCTGAGGAAATTCCTAGTCCTTCGAGTTCAAACATTTTCTGGAGCATTTCTGACTCTTTGGCGTCATTTATGAGAGTTAGCGCGTGGATTGCAGTGTTGGTGATGGTTAGCGATGGTGGAAGCGATGGTGGAATCGTCCCTTTGCCGTGTATACTCGGTCCAAACACTGTTTTTGTAATGTTCAATCCTGATGGCATTTGTATATTTTCTGCGCTTGGAGGTACCATCGCGAAAAAATAGTCTATACCGATGAGGATCTGCGGGTTTTGAAGTTCACCGCGCACTCGCGGATTGCAGACGACCATTTCTTTTGTTTGCAGGAAATTTTTGTCTTCATCGGACAGCCGAACCGAGGAGAAACCGTTGGTTATGACCGGTTTTGTTTGCCCGGTGAGTATAGGCCGTCCGCGCTGCGCACGGAGAGCAACGCTGTTGCGTACATTGAAGGCAGTTCACGACTGGAAGAAGCGCAGAGAAAAACAGGCAGCGAGAGTGCACGAGGAAAGAGGAGTAACGCGCAATACACACCTTGCGCACTCTCCGCGCCCTGCGCGGACGGCCTATATCATCTCTTTGCCATAGGCTGTGCTGACTTTTAGCGTTACGAACTTGCTTTTGAAGTGTTCGGTATGTCCACCAATGCCGGACATCGTGCAGTGTTCCGTGTTCTGGGTTGGTAGACAAAATTCTTCAGCAGTGCTCTCTTTTATGAGTGTTTTTTGAGCTCCTGTGTCGAAGAAAAACAGGACTTTCTCATACTGATTTGTTCTGTGGTTCCACAGATTGCCTTCCGCGGTCATAAGCACAAATTGTTCTTTGTTTCTGACCGCTTGTGCATTGTCGTTTCCTGTATCAACACATGTGTTGTTTACGACTTGTCTTTGGTTTGTCCTATCTTGGAAGTCGCGTCCATGATTATTGCGCCATTGTGGTCTATTTGCTCTTGTATCATGTCTATCAGTGCGATACGCTGACCTTTGATGGTTGTAGTTGCGATTGTTTGTTGCTTGATTCGAATTTCGCTCGTTCATGTTTGGAGCGTTTGAGGATGGGCACAAGGAGACATCATGTAGTCGCCCACATCGAGAACAGTTTGGTTTCAAGCAGGCACCAGCACTGTGTTCGTTGGAAAAGCATTTCCAACAAAGATGTTCTTCTTTGACCACGTTTCGTCTCGCAAAAGTGTCGGTTACCGTTCTGCAATTCGATGCCGTATGATTGGACATCTTGCAAAATACACACGTGTTCGTATTTTTTGGTATAGTACGTTCGTTGTTTGCATAATTACGCTCGCTGTGTGCATAATCTGGGCGTTTTCGTGGTTGTTCTCCTTTCGAGAAATGTTTGAGACGCGAATCCACGTATTTTTTTGCTTCAATTTGCTTGTCTAGAGCTTCCATTATGTCGTCCACTGTGATTTCTTGTAGTTCTTGCGTTGACGTGAGCACGTTCTTCACTATGTTGTATGGAAATTTTTCCAGAATTTTCTCGGTCCAGAGAGCATCTTGCATCTTGCGGATGTCTTGCCCGGCAGAGACTAGTTGGTTTATCAACATGCGTATTTTGTCATGTGTGTCTGAGCAGCTTTCAGCAGTATTTGTTGCTGGTCGCATGTCGACCAAATTTTGCACAACTCTGGCTCTATTTACAGGCCTGTTGCTGTATTTTTTCTTCAGTGTTTCTATCATCCACTGGTAATTTTTTGGTACCATTTCTATTCCTTTCACGGCAATTTCCGCCCTTCCCTTGAGGCTGTCCTTGAGAAACATCATTTTTTCTGTGGTACTTAGGACTTTGTTTTCGTGTACCAGGGTGCTAAAAATGGCCCAATATTCGGCGAATTCCTCTTCGTCGCCATAAAACCTCGGTATTTTGAGCTGTTTTGGTTTCAGAGTTCGATACATCATGTCTTCTGACTCTACGACGCTATTTATCAACAGGTCTTCGGATAACCATGCCCCTGCATTGGCGGTGAACTCTCTATCTTCTCCGTTAATTTCACCTTTCATTGCTGCATCGCTAGGTGTCGATATCGTTTCGGTATGTACTGGCATATCCAGCTTCTTTGCAAGTTTCTTCGCTTTCGTGCGAGTTTCGTTCAATCGCGCTTTTAGCACGTACATTGTGTCGTTAGCAGCCGCGATTTTTTCGCTGTATTGCGTTTCTTTGTCGATTTCTTCGATTTCAGCTAGCAGTTCTTTACGATTACCTTTTACGTTTAGGTCGTCGAACTGTTTATCCAGCTTGTCCACCAGGATCTGGAGTGCGTCTCTGCTCTCCCTGATGAGTTCAATTCCTCCGCTGATCAGGTCTGCAGCATTGTAAAGCTCATCAAGCTGTTTGGTCTTGTTTCCGCTGGTCGAGACCCCTTCGGAATAACCTCTGTACTTTTCCACTAAGGTACCCAAGGATTTAGCACTGTATGCTATTGGTTTTTTGTGTAATGTGAATGCCATTATCACTTTTTGCTTTTTTTTTCGGCTTAAGTGCTTTGCTTTCGCTTTGACTTACAGCCTACTTTATTGTAGCGTATGTGTTGCCAGGTATGATGGGCTTTTTGTTGCTAGGTATGATGTCCTAGTCTTTATTGCCAGGGAAATGCTGGACTTGTGCTAGGTATGATGGCCTAGACTTTTTCGATTCAATAAAGAATCTCGACCAAAAAAAGGGTTTTTTTGACCGATGCACCAAAATGTGCCAAACGGTGGTTCAGATTTAAGAGGAATGGATTTATTCGAATATATAACAAATGTAACAATTGTCCTCTTTACCCGGACAGGGTGCAAAACAATGCTCACAGAACAGACACACCTATCAATCCCAGCCCCCTGCTTTTATAGCAGGGGAGCTGGGCAAACAACCGTATCGGGCTTCTGCCGAAGAGGTCGCCATTTCGGCGACATTATTATTATTATTATTATTATTATTATTATTATTATTATTATTATTATTATTATCATCATCATTATTATTATTATTATTATTATTATTATTATTATTATTATTATTATTATTATTATTATTATTATTATTATTATTATTATTATTATTATTATTATTATTATTATTATTATTATTATTATTATTATTATTATTATTATTATTATTATTATTATTATTATTATTATTATTATTATTATTATTATTATTATTATTATTATTATTATTATTATTATTATTATTATTATTATTATTATTATTATTATTATTATTATTATTATTATTATTATTATTATTATTATTATTATTATTATTATTATTATTATTATTATTATTATTATTATTATTATTATTATTATTATTATTATTATTATTGTTATTATTATTATTATTATTATTATTATTATTATTATTATTATTATTATTATTATTATTATTATTATTATTATTATTATTATTATTATTATTATTATTATTATTATTATTATTATTATTATTACTATTATTATTATTATTATTATTATTATTATTATTATTATTATTATTATTATTATTAGGTTGGTGCAAAAAAAATTTGGCTCCAAACTTCATGCAAATCAAACCTGGCGCAAAGTCTCGCGCTTATTTTGTAGAGCTTGTTTTGATCTATCGGTTGGTGCCCCTTTTACTTACTTTCGTGCTCACCCTGTTACGATTTTGCATGTTAAAATAAAAAGCGACATTATTTTCCGGACAACCTGATAAAAAACAGCGTCACATATCTTCCAAATCAATGATTTTAATGCGAATGTGGCATTAACCATTACAAAACCGTTGTAATTGAATAAAATCAAGCATTTAACTCAAAAAAGATCTTCTTTGAAGTTCTCCATAGTTGGTACTAATAGATGTGACTTTCAGCATTCAAAGTGTATCGGCTATCACAGTGCGTTATATCTATCTCAATCAGGTGTTCACAACTTTCACTGAGTTTAATTAATGTATTAGATGTAGGAGAGTGGTACTCAGAACTATGATCGCCTAATACCACTCGTCAGCCAAAAACACAAAGATTATCTGCCACGCGGGTCGTGAGCGGTTGGACACGAGCACACCTCAAACTTGGGTAACTAAACTTCACTAGAGAAACAAATAACAACAACAAACACGGATAGAACAAATAACAGATAACGGTGTTACTAAATGATAAACTACAAAAATGATAAGAGTTGATCGGATATGATCGGAAGAAAGCACAGATATATGAGTGAGATAATGTTGAAGCAAATCAGCAAAGTTGTACATGTGAATAACTCTGACTGTGCACTGTCAGCTACTTATATGCGTACGATCACATCATCAAGCCACAGCTGCGCACGACATTTTCCGGTTAACTGAAAACCGGAGCAATTTACATCTGATGGTAACGTCTGCGAATTCTCTCAATAGCAGAAACGATGCAAGCTACGGAATTCATTGATGCTGTGTAATTGGCAAAGTATTACCAGGCTACATGAATGCAATGAGTTTGTAGTTTTGGGCCGCTACTTAAATAATCGCCGCGGTAGGCGGTCCGCAAATTCGCGCTTTTCTGCAAGCGGTCAGCAAGAATTTGGGGCGCGGCCAAACCTTCAGCGAGCGATGATTTTAGGTTCTGTCAGCGGGTAGCAATACAGATTTTTCTTCTTTCAGCGAGCGCTGGCCAAACTCTCAGCAGGCGCTCGGAATCTTCTTGAGCAGTTTCGGGCGTACGCTGAGAAAAGTTGAAACTCTGTGTGGCAGAGGTGTCATCGATAGTTTGATTACCCGATTGGGGTACCTCCTTTCAGCGGAAGGTACCCTGGGTGGTCCTTCACGAAGGACCGGCCTTCAATAATCTTGCATACTCTCGCGGAAAGTCAGCGAGAATGCGGCCATTGCGCCGCAACTAATCTATAGAATCTTTTCGCGCTCTCACATGTAGATTTTCGAATTCAGCACAGTGAAGAGGCCCAAGTAGGCTCAAATTCTCAAAATCGACTTCTTGCCGGAACACTGCCTTTAACTCCCCCCTCCCCTCCCCGATCTTCTCCTGCTCTCCATTTTAGTACTCCGGAGTTTCTTGTTACTCTCCTATGAAACTTTATCAAATGAGGCGGTTTCCACGTGTCCCGTTTCCTCCTTTCCCAAGCTGGTGATTGACCAAATCTTTTTAAGGTCAGAGTGCCCAAAATTTCTCTCCCACCGCTTCAACTTTTCTTTTATATGACCTGTTGAAAGCAGTGGCTCGGCAAATCCTCGATCTGTAGTTTCGCTTACCTGGGGTGTTTCGGCGCGCTAATCCCGGAAATCCATCCTGAATAGCGCGAAAATGTTGAAAACTGGCAAACCGAAAAGCTTTTCAAGGCCTCTCATTTTGAACGAATGGAAGTTCTCTTACCATAGCTAGAGACCTGGAGCCGTTGTGGAACCCTCATGTTTATAGCACTGCGACATGCTTTAGTGTATCGCAAGCTATCGCAGAAATGTCGCAAGCTCGTAGCACGTGAAAGAATGGCTTGCGCGCACGGGTTTAGGGGCAATTTCCTAAGCGGGCAGCATGCTCGGTCGGACATGCTCCGTTCTCATATTTGGAGAGTAAGCAAACTTCGATATAAAAACATCGAGATGTTCAGTTTTGCCAAGCCACTGCCTTCAAATCCCAACTCTTCCTTTCTATTATATTACCTCAGACTTCCTTTTGAAGCCAGACCCTCCTCTCTCCTCCTCAGGTTCCCTGGTCGGTTCCTCTTTCAAAACTTTTTCAGAAAGGTGGGTTTTCGGTGCCCATTCTTCTCCCTGTCCAAAGCGGTATTCAACCAAATCTTTTTATGGCCAGAGTGCCCAAAGTTCCTCTTTCCACCCCTCCCTTAATCACCTCCTCCCTCTCCCAAAGGTCCTGCCAAATTCGAACATCTCACCATTTTAGTACCTAATTCTGTTGAGGCTCAAACTCTTCTCCGTGGGTTTTCTCTTAGCCAAAGCAGCCGTATTTCCCTCCTTCAGAACTTTTTCAAATGAGAGCACCGAGTTTCACGGTGCCCTTTCTCTTCCTATTCGAAGCGAGTCGACCAAATCTTTCAATGGCCAGGGTGCCCAAAGTTCTTCTTTCACCGCTCTCCTCCCCCCTCCGCCCAGAATCTCTCCTAAGTGCCTTGCCAAGCCAACATTTTCCCGCCATTTTACAGCCTCAAAGATCCCGTGTTGGAGCCCAGACTCTTCTTAGGGTTTCCTCTTGGCTAGAGCATTCGAAAGCACTAGGTAATTTCTCCCAAGGTTTCAGGCGGGTTCATGACTTTTACCGGCTGCCATGTACCTACCGTAACTCTACGAAAAGGTCTCAAAACGCAACGAGAGTGTTTTAGACGTGATCAGAAAGTCGAATCTCTCTAGACCGAGTCTCAGCCAAAACTGGGATTTCGCCTCTCTGCAGTATACCTACCATAACTCAGTGAAATCGCCCTAAGGCGAAATAGTATGATATCCGTAATCAGCATGTCAATTAGCTCCCCTCAAAGTTACAGCGAAATCCATGATTTTAGCTTCTTATGTGTACCCAACGTAAACCCAGAAAATTACTAACACAGCGGGAATAGGGAGTTGCATGTAGAAGTGGGCACAATGAAAGGTTTTACAGAGATAGGGATAAGACCTTAATCATAGCATTAACAGGGCCGGGCGGAGCCGGGTAAGCCAGCTAGTATGTAATAATACGATTTTTCAGCTTTAAATGAACATTTAAATGACAGTGACATCTGGAAAAACTTGTTTCACAGTGGAACTTTTGAGCAAAAATTTTTTGACAAAATTCCTTCTTGTCTGTTCTTTATCCAAAATTTGATCAAAATTTTCCGTAGAAAAATTCCTCCAGAGAAAAAAAGAACAAACACAACAGAAAGTTTCCTATGAAATAGTTAAGGAAACCAAATAAAAGAAAAATAAATAAAAACGAAATAATACCAAATAAAGTACGATGTTTTTAATCTTGACTGTATATCCTTCCTTGCAAAAGTTAACTTCACTGCCAACTATTTCAGTACAATTGGCGATGGTTTTTTAAGGCTGACTAAAATACGTTTTTGCATTTTTTTCGTATCACCCTTCACATGCAACAATGAATTACGTTTAAGTATTGAAATGATCACTTATGCTGTCGCAAATGGTATCAAATATAAGTTTACGCCTTTGCCTACTACGCTTTATCGTTGATTAGCATCGGCGAAGTCTTATTGTAGGACGGTAATCTTAGGCAGTTCTCTGAAAACTGTTTTGGACCTGGAGGTTAAAGTAGGATGTTAGCTGCTGTGCGTCCACAATCCCAACTAAAGGTTATAATAATTACCCAACAATGAATGAACTTGGAAGGGTGTTGTAAGAAAAATATGCTTATACAGTGCTGGCCATAGCTATAAAGCCACCCCAAAAATCGCTCTAATTTGCCCTCTTTTGCTCAAAATTGTCTGAAAAACCACTATTTTGTGTGCAAACTTACGTCATATCATTGGGCAAGGGCTCCCAA